CTTCAACCTCAATCCTCTTGATGTCATCCTGAGTAGCTTAGGACTACAGGCTGGCATACAAGGTGCCTGGTTTTATGTATAAATAAAGTTTTAAAATTTTTATTGTCTACATGTCACACATCCTTACTAATACAGCTTAACCTGATAATGTTTGGCCACAGCGTTTTATTATTTTGCTAGAGAGCCGTCAATGAAGTCAGAGAAAATAATTGATTTATTGTGAATATATACTATCAAAAATATTGCTCTGACGATGGCCCTTAATCTGGTTTATACCCAAAAGGATTTTTTTGCTCCCAAAGTGAAGGTTTCTAAGATTAAATTTCAGGATTTCCTTGGGTTAAAAAAAATAAAAAAATACCTTCTAAAATAGTGAGCATACAAAACAACACAAGCAGCTTTGTTGAAAACGCATAGTACAGTTGTGAAATGCACACTCACTGGAAGAAATGTGAAGACGACCATAAACCCTTTATGAAAAATTGTAAACAAGTCTGTATTGCATTTGCTTTAGTTATTTTCATAAAATGCCATGAGAGAGATTGAGACAGAGTTATAATAAACTTGGAAAAATGTTTCTTTCATAAAGTAAACTATAAATCTTTCTTTTGGCTTCCTTTCACCCACTTTACTGTGGCTGAAGAGTCAGAGTTTCTTTTGAGTTTTCCCTTAGGTGCAGTGGCCTTCCAACCCACCAGAACTTCTGCCGTACTGGTTCAAACACACAAACCACACACACACACCAACACACACACACACACCGCACGCACATTGCACACTCTCACACACTGCCCACTTCTCACACATGCACACTCTCTCTACACATAACACACTCTCATCTCTCTCCACCCCCGGGTTGCCCAAAGTATGTGTAACTTTTCCACCACACTTTCTTTCTCTCTCTTTTTTTTTGTATACGGGGATTTGAACTCAGCCTTCACCTTGAACCACTTCCACCAGCCTAAATATTTGTGAAGGGTGTTTTTGAGATAGCACTCTTGTGAACTATTTGCCTAAACTGGCTTCTACCAGTGCATCCTCCTGATCTCGCTCTGATTAGCTAGGGTTATAAGAGTGGAAGCCCCAGCACCTTTGGCACTTTTCCTTTTTGAAGTTTTTTTTTTTTTAAAATTTTGCTTTGGGGGTATATTGAGGCATTTACAAAGTTCTTACAGTATATCATAGTTTGAATTCCTTCTCCATTCATTGTCTTTTTTTCTCCCTCTGGACAGCCCTACACCTGAACCCCACCCTTCTCCTCTGAATCCAGCAGTCTAAGCAGGGTGGGGGCCCGGTTTAGTACTTGGATGGGAGTACCTACACTTTCTAAACCAAGTGTTTTTTTGACTGAGCTGGTCCTTTTTGGAATTGAATGTGGTTCCCTGGGGCCTATAGGAGGCCTTAGGCCCACAAGGCTCCTCCCCAGAATGGGACTAAGGCCTCAGGTTTCTCTCCTGCCTCTTGCAAACTTGGTGGTACTGTCCTTTCCCAGGAGAGGGAACCAATGACCAGATGCCACCCTGAAGGCAAAGTACCAACTCAACCAGCTACCCAGCTGCCCTTCCTGATCAGACACCGCCTCCAGAACTTGGGAGCAAACGCCTTCTGCTTTCAAAAGGTTGCCTAGTCTCAGATATTTTGTTACAGCAGCACAAAACAGACTAAGTGAGCTTGATGAGTAAATGCTTTAAAACAAACAAAGCAAACACGTGGTCTGTCAAAGAGGACTGAGTGCTACTGCAGATAACCTCGTGCACTCAAAATTTTGCTGTGGGGCAGTGGGAGATGATGGCAATTTTAGACGTGTATGGGAGGGTCTGTATTTCCTCCAAGTCCTGTCAAGTTTCTGAGGGATGCATATATGTGACCTAATGGAAAAATTTGTTTGACACTCTGGATTATAGAGATTTTCTCAGTTGTGTGGCTGCTGTCCCTGGGGCTGGGGTCATATAGAAGGCAGATGTGGTGAGAGGGCTCCACGTGCAGTTGCAAAGGACCCCACATACCCTTCACGCGCGCCCATGAAGCATTCTGCCAACATTTGTTGACAGGCAACGGCCTAATTTGCAGACCACTACAGTTCTTCCTTATGTACTCCGGTTAGAAGCACTGGGCAAATGTCCCTAGGACATACCCAGATCAAGCGCCCATCAAGTCTCAGGTGGACACTCTGAAACTTTCCCTGAGTGGCATAGCGAAGCACTGCAAACTAATACTGCAATGAGCCTCCAGCAGGCGCTCACGCCCAGGGGAGGGCTGGTGACAGCCAGCTGTGACACCACCTGCCCGGTAGAGTCTCTGGGGACCCCCCCAGGAAAGCAGAGATGGACCCTTGCATCTGGGCCCTGCATGGGGTGCCGGCCCACACCCCTGTGCACCCCCATATCTGCAACACTGTGGCTTGCTGATGGCCCAGGCAAAAATGATGGTGCTCTGGCTCCCGGCACCGAGGTCTTTATCAACTTCTACTCGCACAGTCTATACCCATGTCCAGTGCTGGGGATTTTTGAAATTCTTCTTGGGCAAGTGAGTCCATTGTCTATTTGTAATAGGTTCCATCCTTTTCGAAAGACACAGCTCTGCCGTAGCACTTTCACACTGCCAAATTTAAATTGTTTGCATTTTTTTCTTTGATTTTGACTGGAGTTTAGAACCTGGGGCTTTCACTTTGCTAGGCAGAGCCAGGCTTGATCTACACCTCCAGTCCTTTTTGCTCTGGTATTTTTTGGAGATAGGGTCTCGCATTTTGCCCAAGACCTGCCTTAGAAAATAGATTCTCTTAATTTTACACTTCCCCCCTTCACTGGTTGTTGTGCCACGTCAAGCCAGC